ATATATTTAATAATATTATTTATTTAATATATTATTATTTAATATATTTAATAATATTATTTATTTAATATATTATTATTTAATATATTTAATAATATTATTTATTTAATATATTATTATTTAATATGTTATTACATGTTTTCAAAAATTAAACTACCAAACGCAGTTTCAGTTTTTTTTAAAATTGAAATCAATCTCTGAATAAAATTACCAAACGCATTTCAGAAATAATTTCAAAATGAAAATGTTTTCATTTCTATTTTCATATAGAAAACAAAATCATTTTGGAACCAATTCCAAACGCACCCTATAAGGCTACATCCACCACTTCATCTTCTACTGCCTCGAGAAACAACCGCGATTGTTGAGCTTGGAGGCTATCATGAATTCCTACAAACATAAAAAGTGTTGATCAATGCATGGGCGATCCAAAGGCATCCGAGTTCATTGGACCAACCCGAGGACTTCATACCCGAGAGATTCCAAAACAGCACTCTTGATTTTAAAGGACTGGACTTTGAATTTATTCCGTTTGGTTTTGGAAGAAGGGGATGTCCAGGCTTGACATTTGGAATTACTAGTACTGAATATTTGATTGCCAATCTTTTGTATTGGTTTGAATGGAAGTTATCGACGGAAGACGGTGGAATTTTGCCGGAGGAATTGGACATGAGTGAGGTTTATGGACTTACTGTTTATAAGAAAGTTCATCTTCGTCTTGTACCAATACCGTATTTTCCTTGATCGAGCATATGATCAAGTGCAGATGATGTGTATACCTTTTCATCTCCTTCTGCCAATAAATTCAGATGAAATTGGTGATCTATTCTGCCTCAGTATACTCTCTCCATGTTTTGTTTTTAATAAATTGTGTTATTATCACTAAATAAATCCTTAATAAGGTAAAGGTCTCTGAATTATTTAGTAGGCGATAACTTAGTTCTAAGACTTATGGGATGTTTGGTTGGAGGATTCAAACCATGATTTGAATCATGATTCATTGTTCGTTACAGTGTTTTCTTTCACAAAAAATACATGTAAATCAAAAATAATTCTACTCACATGATTCTAATCCATGAATCAAACGTCGAAAAAAAAAACCAGAGAGATAGCACGCCTTTAAATTTGTTGCAAAAATAATAAAATTTAATAGATGACAATCTGGTCTCAAAATTTGTTGTTTGAGGAAAAAAAAAAATCCACGTACCTTTAAATTTGTTACAAAAGGGGGAACATATTACTTTCGAATGTGATGACTTTTCAACCGATTTGGGCGGAGCCCACACTTTTGGAAGAAAAAAGAAAATGCCACCAACGATTTTTCACCCATGTGAGCCGAGCCCACAGTTTTTAAAGAAAAAGAAAAAGGCACCGAATGGTGCCTCGTGATCTAAAATAGGGGATGTTTGGTGGAGGGATTCGTTTCCTGATTCGAATCATGATTTATAGTTCGCTATAGTATTTTTTCTCACAAAAAATTCACGTAAATTGAAAATGGTTCGAATCACATGGTTTGAATTCTTCAACCAAACGTCCTCTAAAGGTTCGGTGCTAACAAATGAGGAAAGCCAGTTGTTTTTCGCAGCTGGCTCACACGGAAAAGGTGAGAGGGGTTCAATATAAATGGCCCCCTCCTCCTTAGTTCATTTCAAGCATTCCAGTGGCAAAGAATAGAGAGAGCCGCTGAGAGAGAGTTTTTTTGTGTGCCTACAAAAGTATTTTCCTCGTAAAGAGTTTGGGTAGATTACCACACTTGTGAATGTGAGGGAAAATAGTGAGATTGCCACACTTGTGAGTGTGAGAGAAGTTTTTGTTGAGAGTATTCCTCAAGTTATTGCTAAAACTTGAGAGATTGTTGTATACATACTATTGTTATTTCAAAAATAGTAGAAAATAGACCCATATGAAAAGCTTAAGAAAGTATATAGGCCAATTTTTAGTTATAGAAATTAATATGCCGTAATTTATCAAGTTATGGTTCATAACCAGATAAGTTATGGACAAACTTGTCAAGTTATGGTTCATAGCCAGACAAGTTATGGACAAAAACTGTGAATTATGAACAATAACTTGTCAAGTTATGGTTCATAACCAGACAAGTTATGGAAAAAAATAATAATAATTTGGCCTATTTATTAACTTATGTAAACCATTGGCCTATTAATTTTAATTCATCTCAAGTCTTTACTTATTTTTCTCTTTCTCCCTTGTTATAGTGAAAGTTATTGCTGTCGTTTTTTCCCTTTTAAATTAAAAGGTTTTTCACGAGATAAAATTCTTGGTGTCCATTTTATTTTTTTATATAAATTAGATCCTAAAGGGGAATTAGAATTTCATTTATATTCCCAACAATTAGTATCAGAGCGCTAGCATCAGTTATTCTTCAGAAATAAGAGGGTAGACTTTTTCATTAATCCGGTTGTTTTTTCATCTTTCGTTATTTTTTTATTTTTCTTATTTTTATATTCTTTAGGTTCTTCCATTTTTGGGTGGTGGTAGTGTGTTTTCTTTAGGTTGTAATTTTGATGTCAGCCACTTTGACTGTCTTGCCGATATTTACCTCTTGTAATTATTCTTATAATATAAAATTGAAAAAAATATTACAATAATTTTTTTTATTTTCAAAAAAAAAATTCTTATAATATTTTTTTCAATTTTATCGAGTGGGAAGATTAGACATAGTTAATGCATGTATATAACATGTGTAGTTTTACAAGCATACATCCGATTCGTGAGGATTGAGGCTCCTTTTTTTAGTGAACAGAATAGCGTGAAGAATCTAGAGTCGATAATATCCAGAATTCTTTGTTCTTCTCATCGAAACGTCTATTAAGTATAATTCGTGAGGATCAGAGTTAAGAGTTGACACGTACACATATAACTTTATTTTGTGTTTTATAATCAGGCCGAAATGTATGTCTATAGCATATAATTCGTAAAGATCGAGGGCTAGAATTAATTTATAATTAACATCGAGAATAATTTACTTGTTTTTCTCGCTGAAAAGAACGTACGACCACAACAATAATTTTAAACCAATATCAAAGGTATCTTTATAAATTTGTCGTTATAAATCAATATTGCACATAGTTGATTATGGAAATCATCGTCCTGTTCCGAGAACCAGTTAAAGAATCCTAATATAACGGGCAAGAGGTCATTAAATATTAACGACAAATTACCCAACTACAGATATGGAACAAGTTTTTTAAAGAGTATATGAAAGCAAACATGTCTTATAAGAATGGAAACTTCAACTCATATTTTCTTATAGCCACTAGGAAGAAGAAAGCGTAAGTGAAATCAATAAAATGTCTTTTTGGTACTCCCAAGTAATAAACTTGACCAAAACCTCGCACCCCTTGTTCCTTTTCTCTATTTTCATCCTACCTTTCGTTTTGTTCATACGAAAAATTAGATCACGTGCAAAATCCAACTTTCCACCGTCACCACCTGGGTTACCGATAATCGGGAACCTTCACCAGCTCGGTACCCAAGTGCACCGCTCTCTCCGAGCACTCTCCGACAAGTATGGCCCTCTTATGCTCTTGCATTTGGGCCAAGTGCCAACTCTAGTCGTTTCATCTCCCGAAATGGCAGAAGAAATTGTCAAGAAACACGATATCGCCTTCTCAAATCGACCTAAAACCACCGCAGCCAACATCTTTTGTTACGGATGCAAAGACTTAGGCTTTGCTCCATACGGTGAGCATTGGAGACAGTCTCGGAAACTTCATGCTCTTGAGCTTCTTAGCCTTAAGAGAGTGCAACAATTACACTTTGTGAGGGAAGAAGAGACAGCTTTATTAGTTGAGCGCATACGCAAAGCTTCTAGTCGTGGTGATTCCGTAAATGTAACCGACATGGTTACTGGAACCTCCAACAATGTAGTGTCTAGATGTATTCTTGGACAGAAATTTGAGGAAAAAAATGGGGAGAGTAGTTTTGGAGATCTAACAAGAAGGGTGATGATAGATTTTATGGCCTTTAGCGTGGGGGATTTCTTCCCTAAACTTTGGTGGATCGATGTTCTTCGAGGGTTTATGGGTCGTTTGAACAAGAGTTTTAGAGAATTCGACACTTTCTTTGATAAGGTTCTTGAAGAACGTAAGGCAGTTCACCGGGACACTGATTCGAAAGACTTTGTGGATATTCTTCTCGGACTTCAAAAGGATAAGACGCTCGATTTTCCGCTCACTCAAGACAACATAAAAGGATTCATGATGGTTTCTCTCTCCCTTCTCTCTCTCTAATCACGCATACACATACAAATTTTCTTTTTTTCATTTTAAGAATTTGAACGAGTTAGACATGAAATTAACGCTAACGCGCAAATGTTAATACATGGTTTTTTAATTTCAAACTTTATATGCATGCATGATTAATTTGTATGAATGATTGCAGGACTTGTTCGTTGGTGCAAGTGATACTACTTCGACGACACTCGAATGGTTAATGGCAGAGCTCGTGCGAAATCCGGGAGTGATGAAGAAAGCTCAAGAAGAAGTTAGAAGAGTGTGGGGAAATAAACCAAAGATTGACATGAATGAGATACATCAAATGCAGTACTTAACATGTGTCATCAAAGAAAATCTAAGACTACATCCTCCTCTTGCTCTTCTGATAGCCCGAGAAACTTCTGAGGCCGTTGACATTGCCGGCTACAAAATTCCTTCAAAATCGACGGTTTTCGTCAATGCGTGGGCGATCCAAAGGAACCCGAGTTTGTGGGAAAAACCGGAGGAGTTTATTCCCGAGAGGTTCGAGAATAACCCAGTTGATTTCAAAGTATGGCAAGATTTCCAATATATCCCATTTGGTCTTGGAAGAAGGGGATGCCCCGGCTCCGCATTCGGGCTTGCCAGCACCGAATATATCCTTGCCAACCTTCTATACCATTTTGATTGGAAGTTGTCTGATGCTAATTCATCGCCACAAGATTTGGACATGAGTGAAGTTTATGGTCTTACCGTTCAGAGGAAAGTTCCTCTTAAACTTATACCAGTATCCTACACCCCTTGATAATTTCTTTTGAGGAAATATTCTATGTACTGCCTATGTATGTTGCGTTGTCCTCTTGGTGCGCTGTGCTGTTGGTGTAAAATATGCATCCTCTGTATCTCTATAAGTTGTCAATAAATTAAAATGAAACTAGAGTGCTTCGTTTTTAGAAATTATTTTCCGGGTAACTAAGGGCTCGTTCTTTTAGAGTTAACTTGAGTATAATTCTTGAGTTGAATTTGAATTATAACTTGAGTTGAACTTGTAACTTGAGTTTGTGTTTGGTTATGTACATTTGAGTTATGATTTGAGATAAGAATCTTTTTGAGTTTGTGTTTGAGTGAGTCAAAACTTGAATTTGTATTTAGATAGCATTTTAATAAAAACTCAATGTTGATGAAAAATTTTAATAGAGTATATGGGTCGTGTTTTATTCGTCTTTTTATTGTCAACGCATAAAAAAAATCATCTCAATCAGAATTAAAACGAAAAAATTATAGCATTTTTAAGAATAGAAAAAATATTATTCGTTAATTTGAGTTCGAGTTTCTAAACTCGAGTTAAAGGGAAAACTTGAACTCGAGTTTTAGTCCTAAACTCGAGTTTAAACTTAAAAAAACATGAACTCGAATAAAGTTATAACTCGAGTTATCTTTTTTTGAGTTTTTCACTCAAAAGAACAAGCCCTTAGACTTATTTTTAGTTTCCAAAACTGAAAAAAAAAATAATTTAATTTAGGTCCGTTACTTTTAAAATGTCTCTAGTAATTCTTTGATCTACTAAATTGTCCTAAATTAGCTGTTTTTATCCATCCAACTGTTCGTTAATGGTCTCCACGAAAAAAAGGTATTTTTTTTTCTTAACAAGCGTGTCCTAAGATATAAATGTCTCGTTCATTTCACCGATTCGAGTTTAGAATTCAAGTTTTATTATAATAAAAAGCTCTCAGAAACAGTTACATTTAACTTTTTTACTACAGTAAAAAACTCTCACATAAAATCACATCTCAACTCAAATGAACGGGACCTAAAATTGTTTGTAATTATGGTTCAATTAAAGACGGCGTTAGATTTTGAGAAATATTTACCCATGTGCGCCTCACGTGACCTACTAATGAGGTTAGTGGGCGTCATTTTATCCTCCCCTGTGGTAGCCATTTTTAACGAGAAACCTAAAAGGAATGAAGTTTGGGATTTAGGCTAGGGATTTGGTCTGGCTTGTTCAAAAATGAGCGCCATCAGCTCCAACTCCACCGGAAATCCGCCGGCTCTTCGCTTCTGCCTGACGCCGACTCGGGTTTTGACATCTTGGATGGGGACAGACCCTGGGTGGAGATTCCGAACTTCGTGGCCAGGTGGTAAGTTTGAAGTTTTCATTTGATTGGGTAACCCTAAACTTTAATGGGTTTGTTGGATTTTCCAGATGGTAAATTTGTGATTCGCCATCAATTTTCATTGTGATATAGAATTTTTAGTTATTAGAACGATTACACTAGATTACACTCAAGATATTTAGACTCTTCTTGTAAGGTGTAAAGATATAGATGGGGTATCCTTCGTCTTCTCATTCTTTGTTGTCCTTGCCATCTATTTCAAAATGCAAACGATTTTCTCACTAAGCAAAAGAAACTTGGTTCAACGCAAGGCTAGTATTTCTGTTTGCTTTTGAACTGTAAATTCACTACTAAAGTTTTTTTTTTTTTTTTTTTTTTTACTATGGTTATTATTTAAACTCTAATAAAACTTAGCCGTATTTATTTAAACTCAATTTGTTTTGCACATTTCCAGCCTTTTTATGTGAGTATCTCACTAATTAAGCACGATTTGCTTTAAATAATAAGGTGAAGTGAAAAAACAAGCTGAAACACTAGTTTCTCTGTCTTTGACTATGGTATTTATTTATTTAAGTTCTAGTTTAAGCCTAATCTTATTTATTTAAACTTAATTTTTTTGCACGCTCACAACCTTCTTATGTGAGAATCTCACTAATTAAGCACTATTCGCTTTAAATAATGAGCGTGAAGCGAGAAAACAATTTAAAATACTTTTTTCTCTATCTTTTTTATGGTATTTATTTATTTAAGCTCTAGTTAAGTTTAGTCTTATTTATTTATACTCCATTGATGGGTTTTCACGATATATCAAATTCAAAAACCTTATTAAGATAAGATCATGGTGAGTATAATGGATAAACAAGAATCGTATCTGCAGAGGATTGAGTTTAATCAATGAGTTACTAATATTGTTAAATGAAAATATAAATAAAGAGGATTTCAATTAATTAATTAAACTAAATAAAATAAAATAAAACTTTAAATAAATTGTTTCAAGTTTAGGCCCTGTTCTTTTCGTTGATTCGAGTTTAGAATTCGAGTTTTGCTACAGTAAAAAGCTCTCAAAAATAGTCACATTTTTTTTTTACTACAATAAAAAACTCTCACACAACATCACATCTCAACTCGAATTAACTTCCATTTATACTTTCCCCTCCAAAGTTCTCCATGGAAAAATAAAATATGATAGCTCCCATTTATACTATTTTTTCTTCTAATTTCCCTCCCTCCTATTTCTTGCCTAAAAAACATACTTTTTATTTTTCTCCTAAATCCATCCACCTTCTTCTCACTTTTCTCCTTGAACGAAACATGAGCTATAGCCTTAAAGTTTTGCCGGCATTACAAGATTTGACACTTCTAAACAAACCGACAGCTGTTTTCTGTTAATGAGCTCGCGTAAAATCAGCCTCACATTGTTGACTCTTCTGGTAAGCCAATCAGCACGGGATTATTCAGCACTTTTTCGAGTGTTTCTTCAATTTTAGTTCTTATTATTAATTAGACCGTGAACCTGGCCTGGCCTTAAGGGAAAATACTCTTGATTCATAATTTTTTTAATTAAATAATTATACTGATAAAGGATATTTATTAAAAATAAGAAGTAAAAATTTTTAGTCACACACTTTTAAGGGTAAATTCTCTATTTTTTTCAATATTTTCTTCCAAATATTACTCTTACTAATTGCTTTTTTCCTTCATCGTTACACTTTCACTAAACTATGCTAAAAATTCATGCGAAAAAAAAAAAAGAAAAAGGGAAGAAACCATCCAATACAAAATACTCGTATCATTTTCCACTTATCTTTCTTATTTTTGTAGAACTTAATGTTGAAGTACTTATTCATTATTATCGCATGTTTTTAACGCAAGATCTACTCAAAACTATGTTAAAATGATTAACTATGCAGAATCTCGTATGGATGAAACGGTTCGAAACAGAACCTCGTCGCATATCGGCATATCCATATTGATATTTGTGTATAATATGAATTGAGATCATAACAACAAAGATTGTAACTTTATAATAATGATCAATGTACAAAAATTTAAAAATGGAACCGTGAATAATTAATATAAAAAAAATAAACAAATCATAATATTATGAAAAACTTAGAGATTTAAGGATAAACTATTATGTAAATTACTTCCTTTTTTTCTTTTTCCTTTTTTTTTTTTGTGCCAACCATAGCATGATACACCATAAAACGTCCTTTTATTCTGGTACGGCATAGAATCAACAAATACAGTCATTAGTATTGCCCCAACTGGGCGCCTCAGTCATTCAATAAGACTTGCACTATATATTAGATATCTATACAGATGGAACAAGATCTTTTGATATCTCGTTTCATTCCATCACTATATATCTGAAGACTTTCAGGTATAATCACTAATGAAATTAAATAGAACTTGAGAAGGCTTTTATTCGACAAAACTTGCGACAACAAAATCTCTGGGAAGCCAAAGCCGCCATAGAAGACGGCCTCTTTCAGATTTTGGAATGTGTGCTTGACTTGACGGCTTGTCTAAATATTAGCAAGCCATTATCAGTGTCGTTTCTGAGCAAGTTTGCTTCAAAGTTCAACTCAATAACAATTATCTTCTATTGCTGTGTGGTTGGAGGATGTCAGTAACTAGCTTCTCTGGCAGTTTTTTAGCGGCCTGCGAAAGAACTCAAGAAGATCAGTGAATCTAGAAACTTAAGAACCTAATAAGCTGAGGAAGTGATTTGGGAGAGAGAAAGTAACCTGAAAGTGTCTCATATGCAAGATTGGTTCACACCCAACGTCTGCGACCAATTTTCCATTCGGGGTTTGAAATTTGAATCGCTGAGCCTCATATGGGCTAAGGCTGTTTGTCTCATCAGGAAGATGGTCGCAAACTTTTAGGAGGGAAGTGAGAGAATTCATCTGCAGATTGTAGAAAAACTTGTCAGTTACAAAATTCAAACATGAACTCAAGGCGATTATGGCTTCACTGAGATCCCATACAAGCCAAACTTTTGCCTACATTGTTTCATCCTTAATTCTCATGTCATGAACATCTTTGCCAATTTCTAGTTGTAGTTGTAAAGTTATCATGTCTGTGTTCTTGGATGCACACCTCCAAATTCACACGTACAATATATGTGTATGTATTTAGTTTATAAAGTATCACCGCAAATCGCCTAAAAAGAAAGAGAGAGATATAATGTGCTAACCTTCATGTATGGACAAGATGCGCAGCCACCGTGAATAGAGCATCCTTCCCCACTAGCAACTCCAGGTATCACAGGTAGTATGACATCACCCATTTTGATCGATTTGAGGTCTGCGGATGAACTTGATGATGTTTTCGTCATTGAGTCTGATGAAACCGGAAACACAATCTCTACCTTAACTTTATCTCCACTTTGAGATGAATTTAGCAGACCACGAACTGCTGCAACAATTGAAGTCACCATTCCTGATTCTGTTCCTAACACAAATTGGAGGTGGTCCTTGACATTTCTATCTAAAGCCGCTTGAACCCTTTGTTTTATGAAATCTAGTATGTTTTGGGTAGAACCTACTACCCCCATTCCTCTTCTCTTTGCTTCCATTGCCAAAGAAAACATTTCCCCAGGGACCTCAAAATGAGCAGTTAAGAAGGCGTCCGAGTACATTTCATTTATCTTCTCCACAACTTCATGTCCAAACAGGTGATGTACTATGCACGTTCCGTCCTATACAAGGATACCATATGATCAGTAAATGAAACAATGGGAACAATATAGTAACAGAGACTATGAATAAACGGAGACAAAAAGGTGCTTCCTTTTTTCTTTTTTGTTCTTGCCAAGTGATAGAGAGTTGGTTAAGTCACGGTCAAAACTACGTGCTCAAAGACGTCATGGATTTACCAAAAGATGAAGTAAAAATACCTCGTAATAATGCAGGCGAGGTAGCAATGATTTTATGGAGTCCCTATTGTGTTCTGGGTGTATCTCAGCAATTTCGTCATCAGCCATCTTAGTCATCTGCTGGAACAATTCCACAATATTTGCACCCATGTATGAATCAGGCCCGTACCATACGTGTAAATCTGGAACTTGTGCAAAAGCCTGAGGAAGCAAAATGCTTGGCATTAGCTAGAGTAAAATAAGAAAAATTGGGTATCGCAAATCACTCAACTGATTATTTGGAGAAATACAAAATATAAAACGTGAATGAGAAGCTCGTGCCTCAGAGCACCACGAACCTGTAATATGGTTTGCACGACATTTGAAGAAGTACAGGTTATTGTTGGCACAAGCTCGTGAGCAAATGCTTTTGTCTCTAGTGCAGTATTTATATAGACAACATGCAACGAAGGAGGCGCATTAGAAGCCGCTTCAAGATAACTCATGTAAGAAGGGGTGGCAGCAGCATCTGCCAAAGAACAACCAATACGTTCATTTGACATCCTGTACACACCAACCTGAACACAAACAAACATAGAAAGAAACAGAATTATGACCTATGGTGTAGCACCGATATTGATAAACAATACCATTTCCTTTTTTTCCCATTTTCCTTGTCCACTAGTGACCATAAGTTTGCCCATATGCAACTAGACCAGCATTACCAAACCTCACTCATCTCATAGGACCACTCCCATGCTCTCCAACAAAACTACGATGTTAAACACTAAGAAACTAGAGTAACATGTGATCTGCTCAACAAACCTCATTCCACAATTTCCTAGTGTCCATATTTAAATGACAAGACGTGACCAACTCAAAAGGCGTACCTCCGGAAAACCAGCCTGATCGAGAATTGCACGAACATTTTCAGACATGAAGTCGACACCCAAAACCGTGATGAATTTGCATCCAGCCTTCGCCATCTTCACAGCCGAATCTGCCATTACCAGCGAATCAGATATATGGATGTGAGGCCACTGCTTCTGTGCAGCAGTTAGCACGCCTTGAACTTCAGGGTCCATGTAGAAATGTGCAACCACCCCAATTTTCTTCTCTTTTAACAGGTTGACCAGTGCTTGAACCTTAATCTCATCAGGAAATAAAAACCTCGCCTGCAATTAAAATCAATGAAACTCTCGATTTTAAAAACACTGCACCAACTTAATATAAGAAGCAGTAATCGAAACAATCATCAGTTTTTTCCTTTTCTTCTCTCTAATAAGGCGGCATTCCAAGTTAACATAAAGTATATTATGCCGTGTAGCGTATTGTCCACATACTAGAATGATATAACTAAAGACACCATTTTCCAAAGACTTCTTAGACTTCTAGGGCCTACCAATTACCAACCCACCTAGCTGCTCAACCAATGGTACACAAATATTAGTGGAAGAATCTATGGTACATCCCATTTTTTGGCAAGTTTTAACAACGATGAAAAACGACACGAGCTGTTGAAAACTATTTTAGTTAAAAGCGGACAACTTTCCCTTCGATAGCTACGATCCTCTCTTTTTATCATCCCGTGGCTGAAAATTGGGCTGCATGATACATCCAAAAATCCATACATTTCACCAATATTACTTAAGCACACCAAGATCAACAACCCATAATAAATCCATGTTTCTCATAGCGACAGCAAACCTTAATCCTACTACATTTTCACGCAGTTGTATTCAAAATTAGACAGGTTTCTCACTACTACATTTAAAAAGCAAAAACAGAGCAACCCAAATAAGAACACAAAAACGACAACAAAAACCCCACCTGAGCTTCGGCGTAGCTCCCTTTAGCGGAAATCCCATCGGCGGCGACGACCAGCGAAGGGAACAGATCAATCGGAGCCTTCCCTTCTCTCTCAGCAACCAAAGCTCGAGTCTTTTTCTGCATGTTGATCAAAACGTTATGCCAAGTATTGACTCTAGACCTCTGACCACCAGGAATCCCCACGTTCAGATCCCCCAAATCTTCGGTCTTCACCTCCAGAACCTCCTCTGGCGACGCCCCGTCGAGCGCCGAGACCAAGCAGTAGCAGAACCCCCTGGTGATCTCGGAGTCGCTGTCGGTGGCGAACCTCATCCGTCCATCGCCGCCCAGGCTCGCCTCCAGCCACACCTGGGCCGTACACCCCATGACTCGGTTCGAGTCGACCCGGGCCGATCCGGCGAGCGGCGGCAGGAGGCTGGCGGAGTGCAGCAGCTGCTCGACCCGCTCGATCGGCTCCGGAAGGGCGCGGAACTCCGCGGCGAGGCGGCGGAGCTTATGAAGCGCCAGCTCGGCGGTCTGCGACGGAGAGAAGGTCACCGCCGAGCACGAGAACGACGACGGCGGCGGCGGCGGGGTGTTGAAACTCTGAACGCATTTGAGGGTTCTGAAGATGCGGAATTTAGGGGATTGGAGCTTGAAAAGATATGGCGGTTTAGGGCTGGCGTCAAGATTCGGGGAGACGGAGAAGAAAGGTGAGGAGGAAGAGGAGAAAGAGGAGGAGGTGGCTCTAACGGCGATGGTTGCGAAGGAGGAATCCATGGGAGAGGTTGTAGAGAGAGAGAGAGGGAGAGGAGTGAGAGTCTAGAGAGAGAAGGTTGTAGAGAGAGAGAGAGAGAGGGGGAGAGGAGTGAGAGTCTAGAGAGAGAAGGAATACGGAGAGAGAGAGAGTGCAAAGGAGAAGGGTTAAATGAATGAGAAGAGTGGAGAGGAGGGAAGGAAGGAAGAGACAGAGGAAACCAAAACTCGGCGCGCATTCAATATATAGTACTCTTAATGCAAAATTATTTACTCCTTAAGTTTCGGAAAAATATGCATACTAGATGATGGGCCCGTTGTTGTGCATCGCCAAGGAAGCCCCATCTTCTTTGAAGAGAGAGAAAAAAAAAAACAAAAAGTTAATTTCACTTTCCGCCCAACTATTGTATGTTTCTTGTCGACCTTAAACTTCAAAACGTTACAAATTGCACCACGGATTATGCTGCTTGTTTTATATGTGGCCGTACGTTTAAGACTCAATATAATCAATCGTATGATGCTCGCATACTCGGGGGATCAATATCATATTGCTGTGCGGTTAACAATATTTGGAAGCAAGTAGATTTTTGATAAGTTTATATATATATATATATATATATATATATATCAAAAACTGTTAGTGAATACGAGAAGTATAATTTTAAGTGTTTAATAAATTATGTATTAAAATTATTGTGGAATTGTATAATAATTAAAATAGACTTATTTAATACGTATATTTATAATATAAGTTTTTATTTTTTAGTTTTAAGGTCAACATTCATAATATTTTTACACCAAATGGCACGTAGTTATACAATCACATGTAATATTTGTTTATATTATGTATTTGTTAAGCCGGTTTTGTTCTTTTGAGATTGTGTATATTATCAAGCTTTCTTATGAACAATTTTAGTAACACAGAACAAAGGAAAAAAAGGTTGAAGAAAGTAGTGAATTCCCCAATGAATAATTAGTATAACGTGAGTTCAAGTTTGGCTAAGCGACAACAAAGGCCAGTATATATGAACTGTGAAGAACACGAACAGAGTAGTTTTTTTTTTTTTTTTTTTTTTTTTTTGGGGGGATATTAATAAGAACACAAATAGAGAGTTGAGAAGGTGATTGGAACCCCTTGCAAAGCTTTTGTCACCACACGTGTACTTGATGAGAAAGGATCCGAAAAGAACAAGAAAGTTCCAAGAGGGAGAGAATATGGCCCTTTTCTATAAGCCAATTTCCCCACTTGTATTTGGCTTATAAGAATCCAGAAAGCCACAATAAAGGATGACCACTTTTAAACCAATACCAACAAAAAGAAAAGAAAAACGGTGTCCCTTATACACACAATTGTCACTTTCTTATTGTGTGCAATGATTTTATGCTCTCTTTGACCACCCAAATCATTTCCACCAGAAACTTTTAAAATTTTGTTGTTGCGTGGGAAAAAAAGGAGTGAATGCATATATGCTCGTTGGAATAATATTGTGGTGGCTCATAGTGCAATTTGTGGTCTATGAAACACCAAGAAAGTATCCCAATAGTATTGGATTTACTCATAAGTAAGCTTAAAGGTCCTTTTGAAAAGTGTATTTGAATCATAATTTGAGTTTTGATTCAAATTCTTGAATATTTCATTCACTGAAAAATATTCACTGAGAATTAATAGCATAATTTGGCCCTTCTCCAAACTTTTATTCACTGAAAAAATTTTAATCGACGATAGTGACCGGCACATAATGACAAAGTGAGGTTTAAAGGTGGATGGAAGAAGAAAAGTTCATTTGTCATTCCTATACATTGTCATAGTCATAGAAAATTAGAAACGGATCAAGTGGTCCACGAACTTTCTTGTTTCTTGTTAGACTCCCAAGAAGCGTAGAAAAGTTATGGCTGCGGTCTTCCACTAGCACATAGAAAGTGTAGACAGTTGGTGGAGGTTGACATAGATATGGGTTCGCCTCTCCTAATCCCTAGGGACCAAAATTGGAATAGTTTCTTTGAATAACATGGCCCTGACGTTATCACTAACGTTATGTACAGTATTTCTGTAACTAAATATAAAAAGACATACTCTCTCTCTCACCTTTCAACTCTCTCTCTTTCTCAAGAGGTGCGGCCAAATTTCGAGTTTGAGATCCCTTTCCTAGTGCTGGAGTTTGGCACCACCAATGGCTGGTCGCCGAACTCTCAACCCTTAAGACAATAGTTAAGGTCATACGGGTCTACGATTGGCTGTTGACATGCGTGGTCCATGAGCGATGGTGCTGTAGCTCTGGTGAGTTGGAGTATGGTGGCGTCTTTACTCTAGGGTCTCAGCCCCCTCGTCGATATGGTTCAAGGGAGGGGCGATGGGTGTCTTAGGGGCGACTGGTGTTGGAAGTGGAGGCATGGCGGATTCTACCGGTGTGAGGAGCATGAGGTTTCCGACGAATTTCTAGTGTCGAGACCTCATTTAGGTTGCTTTCGTTTTGTTTTCGTCGCCAATAGTTGCGATTTTTCTACAGTGACTTTGCTCAAATACTATAGTGGTTGACTTGTTGCCCACTTTTCTTCTCATTTGGCTTAGGTCATTTATAGTTTTTTTTAGTATTTTATTAATTTTAATAAAGGTGTTGTTTCGTTATGTTTATGTATTATAATAATGGAGATGGTCTCCTCACATTTCAATTTTTTTTGTGTGTCACACCCGTATGAGTTGTTTGTTGACAGTATGTATACTCGTTTACGACAAGAATTATTTTTAGGTCACGTCGCTTCTGTCTCCAGTATCCGGGGTTTGATTTTGGTCGATTAGTTTTATCCATCAATTATAGGGGTTTTTTGTAACGAGTTTTAATCGCGTTCGATTTTGTTTGTACTGAGCGGGTTTTTTTCCGTTGAGTCTCGACACTTGTGTTGGCCCCTACGCTTCATCCGTCTTCATTGAGGATCCAATTAATGTGCATGGTTGAAATCCCTCGTAGTTGGTGATCACTATTATTAAGTATGTAATATTACAACTTTGGAATGAATTTTCCCTTAAAAATATAAAAAAGACATATAAAGTTATGTCACACTTGAACAAAATGAAATTTAATGTTAGCATAGAAAATTAAAAATAGTATGCAGAATGTTGCGACTGCCGAAGACATTCCTATGATCTTTTTATTAATATACTTTTCACCCCCCCTAGTCCTTTGTGGTCAAAATGGTTCAAAGGTCCAAAAGTAATGATGGACAAATGAACTGTTTAAATCCAATGATATGAATATAACATGCTGAAGAATATCTTTTTGGCACAATCTAGGATTAATGAGCTCTTTTTTGTCTCCCAGCATTTACTTTGCCTAGTCTGTCGTTTTCCTTTAATGGCTGATTTTGCTGCTGCAATTATGGTTTTGGAGAAAAGAAAAATTACACAGGGATGGTGGCAAAGATTTTGATATATATTTTTTCAGCCATCATTAACATTTGCTTTGACATTGTCGTAAAGAAGATGATTGCTGATCATTAAAAAAATCAAGCACTTGATCATGTATGATTTTTCTCTTTTGGACTTTTGACTAATTTAATCAAATAACTATTTTCGTCTATATCCTTGTATCTTCACCCTTTTTTTAATATTTGCATGTACCTCCACTATTCCTCTTTGAAGACTATTCAAAGAATTCTGAAGCCTCTTTTTTTTTTTTTTTTGGTTCTTTACCTTTGGAAAAGATGTATTCTAAGAAAGCAAAATATTATCTGTCGTAGCTTAGCTTTTTTTTTTTTTTTTTTTTTTTTAATTTTCTCGGAAGATGTCTACCTTTTAGTCTCCATGTGCCTCTCCATCACCTTCGCCTTCATCTTCTATTCACACCAATATTACTTTCTATAATTTCGTCAATATCCAATGTCTCTCACGAAAGACAAATGCCCTAAAAGCATAGGGATATCCTCACCCACGGCTGAATAGCTTTTTCATCATGCCACTTGTTGATGAATTATATTAGGGTTTAATTAGAGAGTAACATGCCACGCAATTCAATGAAGTGTGTCTTATTAGCATGTACTCATGGAAAAATACGATCTGATTTATCAGTTTTACCATTTTCTTTCTCGTTTACTTCTGCTGGACTGAATATTATATATGTCACTAAGGCTAATGAAGGAACTGAGAATAGCACATTTTCAGGACTTAATGCATTTTTTACACATAAAAAAATTACTTAAAGAATTAGTGAATAGTGATTAACAATCTGCTTGGAACTTGGCAAGTACTTCTAACGTCACAAATAAAAAAAGAAAAAAAAAAGAAAAATTAAAAATGTGGGTAATTATATTCTGAACGAACAGAACTAGAACTTGTTATATAACTTAAAACATGACTAATTATGATCACGTAAATTTGGAGATGTATTTTGAGTTTCTAGTGGAATGATGCTAAGTTTACGCAAACGGATTTTCAGTTTTTATTCTTTATAACTGACAATGGAAAGAGGCAACATTTAGTGATAAGCAACAACTAGAAAAACATAGACAACATTAAGATAAATTCCGACAAGATTAACGCTCAAGATGAAAAAGAATGAATTATCGGCACAAGACGAAGAGGAACTTTCCTGCGAATGACCAGCCCGAAACTATCACTCATGTCAAATTCCTCCACAGTTTGGCCAGGAGGCAACTTCCAGTCAAACCAGCAAAGCAGATTAGCCAACACATATTCCATTTCCGCCATTGCAAACATGATCCCGGGACACCCCCGGCGACCAGCGCCAAACGGGGTGAATTGGCTGTGCTGTCCTTTGAAATCAACCGCGTTGTTCGCGAATCTCTTCGGTACAAACTCCTCTGACCTCTCCCATAATTTGGGGTCCCTTTGAATAGCCCAATTATTGATCAGAACCCTTGTCTTGGGAGGAATGTCATAGCCTTCCAACTTAGTACCAACAATTGTCTCCCTAGTGATCACCACAGGAGTATGTAATCTTAATGTCTCTTTCACAACACATTTCAAGAACCCCATTTGATCAATGTCAGCCTCATCTATCTTTGATTTGTTCCCCACAACTCTTCTCACCTCTTCTTGGACTTTCTTCATCATATTTGGATTCTTCATAAGCTCTGCCATTGCCCATTCCATGACTGATGCATTGTTATCCGTTCCACCTATAAACATATCCTTCAATAAAGAAAAATAAGTCTAATTAGTATCAAATATCATTACCGGCCGCACATGTTTCTGAACATTAAATCTGATTAAACTTACATCAAAATTAATAAGTAGGCAAAATAGACAGAACATAACGGAGTCCTATTTCCATAACGTCCCAAAGAATTCTCAACATCTATTTAAGTGTTTGTAAAAGAGATAAAGAGAATAAAGGGTACCAGTAGAATTGCTTTAAGGTTATCTCGAGTGAGATTGATGTCAAGCTGGCCATCTTTCTGAAGATGGAGAAGAATGTCCACAAGATCTTTCTCTTCAGATTGGTCACCCATTCTCTGCTGATGTTCTTCAATTACTTGATCGAGCAGACCATGAAATGCTTTGGCTGTTCTTTTGATTCTTGCATTGAGTCCTGTAAGAACATCAAGCCATCCCAAGTAAGGAACAAAGTCTTCAAAGTTAAATGCTCCAATGAGTTCCATTGCCTTCCTCGCTAAATCTCCGAAACTCTCACTGCCGTCGACCCTCGCGTACTTCTGACCAAGCGCAGATCTTGAAACTATGTTGTTTGCTATGTTGACAAACATCTCGCTTAGATCAACAAAGGCACCATCTTGGCAACAATGCCGGCGAACATTCTCTATCATCTCTGCAGCTTCTTCTTCCCTCACATGCCGAAAAGCCTGCACTCTTTTCGCGCTAAAGAGTTCAAGAACGCAGATCTTCTTCGTTTCTCTCCAGTACTCGCCGTATTTACAAAATGCTACATCGGTTGATTCGTAGAAGAGAGTGTTGGCGGCCTTGAATTGCGGACGGTTTTGGAAAACAGAATTGTTCAGGATCTCTCTTGATACCTCTTCAGAGGAAACTACAAGTGTAGGCACATTGCAAAAATGTACTAGCATTATAGGGCCATGCTTCTCGGAGAGATCTCGGAGAGATCGGTGAAGGTCTTTGCCTAGTTGGTGAAGATTTCCGATAATTGGCAACCTTGTAGGAGATGGAGGAAGATTGAGCTTTTGACCTCTAATGAGCTTAAACACACAAAAGGAGAAGAAGATGAGAAGAAGAGAAAATATGATGGGATTGAACAAAGTTGGAGAATCTTGGAGTTCTTGCCCCCATTCTTTGAACATAAGCAAAATTTTCAATGCCTCCATAATCTCTCCAGATTGAAGGGATTAGCAAATTTCAAGTGCTTTGGTAGACATTCATATGATGATATATGCTTCTTGGAAACCAACTCATAAAGTCAAGTCGAACGAAATAAAAATATAATTTTCTTGGAATCCGAATGCTTAAAAATTTAAAATAACAATATATATATATATATATAAAGTAACCAAAATAATTACGCATTCAGGTGCTTTTAAATATTAATAAAGATAAGATGTTATCATTCGTGCCTGCAAAGCGAGAAAAATAGGGAACTTTCAGCTTAATTTAAGGATAATATATTGTCACTTCTATGCATGTGGGCTTGTGTCAATGGATGTGCAAGTTTAAAATACGAAAGATTTCATTTTCTAAACGCCTGTGAATACACTCTACTATTGAGATTTGAGAGTCAAGGTTTCGAGCCGGATTTAGGTTTAGTTTGGTATTTCTATAGATCTTAAAAAAAATTACTTTTAGTTGTGCTGAAAGAAAAAGTAACTGTTATAAAAAGCAGTTGAGTATTTATTAAACTATAATTATAATAGTTGTGTTAATTCCAAAATCAGTGTAATAGTGTTTAGTAAATTATGAGATTAAATTGTTATAGATAGTTACAAATTACAACTATATTATAGTTATATAATTAAAATATAATATATATTTGATTATATTTAATATAATAAAAAACTATTATTATATAATATATTATATAATTATGGTATATAATATAATATATTATTAAAATAATAACT